ATAATCCCTAGATTAATAAACTATAGTAGGATGTGTCTGGATGATTTGGTAGAATCACAGAACACTGCTGTGATAACTGGAGTACCACTTGTGTGTACAGATTTTCCTGATGAAAATAAAGCTGTTGATGCCTGGGCATATACCCCAATTTAAGTCTCCTACAGCCATCTTTCTAGTGTATTAAATATGTGTGTTATCCTCCTTCCCCTGCCAAAATTTGGCAGTGAGAGGGTGGGATAAATACAACTCCAAAGCAAAGCAATTTTAACAGTTCAGCAGTCACTGAACACTAACTGTCTAAAGAACTATGGTAGATACTTGGTGGAGAAAGGGATGAAGTTAGGATCTGAAAATTAGTAAGACTTGGCAACTGCTCAAAGACAAAATAGACATACAAGCTGTGACAATGCAAGGGAGGATAAAGGAAGTGATGCTCCTAAAAGTGGTACAAAGTTCCTTGAGATTTTATAGTATGAACAGATTTGCTAAGATTTATATCCAGGGAAAAACTAAAAAGCTAGAGTCCAGATTTTCCTTCTTATTGGAACTTCATCATATGCTAGAAAAACTATACATTACTTCATGTAGAAGGGAACACAATGTTCTTATTTCCACCTACTGCAGCCCAGCTGCCAATTCAAACATCTGCCACCCCTTAAAAGTGCGATTAAGGAAGCATTGGGTTTGGGGGCTCATGTGCCATAGCTAAGCCCCTACCTGGATGGACTGTGTAAACATGGTGTCTGGGGAGGAAAATGAAATTACTGGAGGAGTCGTGCCTATATTCCTATGAAGATTTCACATGTTCCATCAGGAAAAATTTCTGAAAGTCTGTAAGCACAGCAAAGAGAAAGTACTGTAGAATTCTTGATGATAGGGTAAAGAGTAGTTCTTAGCTGATAACACTGCTATACAAGGAGAGTTCGCTGAAACATTTCATAACTCAAGAGTCCAAGCCTGAGGCCATGCTGTTGCAACATATTTGGATCCATCTCACATTGTGATGATGACAGAGTGGGAAGAATTTAAACATCTCGATCTCATTAGGATTATCAAAACAATCTTGTTTTACTGAGCACACCAAGGTGCATCTCGTGACCTCTCAAGCTCAGAGATCAAGTTAGGATCTGATGTAGGAATGGAGAAATGCAATGACTTCTGCACATACTACCCAGTAGCTCCCAGAGACATAGAAGAGGTAGAGGCAAAGAGTTTATAGAGGAAGGGAAGGCTAAAGAAGAAAATTAGGGAGGGAACAGGTGTATATATCTGGGACAACAGAAAAGGTAAAGGAAAAGAGAGACCCTGGAGTTGCTTAGCAACATTGTTGTTAGAGTCTAGCACTGCTTCCTCTGCTGAAGTGGGGATAGTGAGTACAACAGAACCATCTCACTTTTGGCAGTAGGGAGATGATCAGTAGAGTAAGGGGGAAAATGAGCCAATCAATCAATATTTCAGTAGATCTGTTTTTCACTGCATTTTCCTCAACTTGTGAACCTAGGTGCAAGGAAGCCTTCAGCGTTTGTCCTTGGAAAGACAAACACATGTCAGATACTGTATCTCCTCACCCTGAATACATACACTTCTAGAATGTCACTTTTCTTTTAACCCAGTATTCACCCTCCACAGCTGGGTCAGAGCTTAGAACCTCTGCTTAGAAGTTGAGCACTCACACTTACTCAGAAAGGAAGCCTAGGCTAGGCCTCAAATACAGACTTCTGAAACTTATCTCCAAATGAGGTTGTGTTAGATTGAAGAACAGTTTGTTTTCTAGGTTTAAAAAATGGTGGAATAGCAGCAATTTCATATGACTTAATTCTATACATAAACTCATTATAAAGTGTGTTTAAAATGTGTTAATTTGTTAAATGAAAATATTTTTGTAAACTTGTTTTGTCATCTTATTTTTAAAAAATAATGTATTGGGATCCTTGAAAAAATGGAAGTGAGCTAGGCCCTTCTTCACTCTGAGAGACTCTGGCTAAAGCCAACTTTTACCTTTATTGTGGAGCCTTCACAGAGCTCAGGAGGCCTCATATATGAGCATCATTTGCTGCTCAAGACCCAGAGAACATCTTACCAAGTACTTCTTGTGATCAAGTCTGAGTCTTTTTTTTCCCTAGGTGTTACACCCCAGCCTCATTTCCCATAACTATCTAGATGAACATAGGTTTTCCTGTTGTATATTTTTAAATCATCATATCTGTTTTGTCATCAAACAGATGTTGATAAACATCTATTTTAGCACTTTAAACTTCGTGTGGCCTTCCAAACTCTTGATCTGCAAACTATGTTTAACTTTCTACAAAGTTTGACATCAGTTTTAAATTCACTCACTGAAAAGTCTATCATAAAACCTATTTAGTGAAACTGCTAGCAAATCTTACCTGGAAGACTCTGAATATAGATGCTTTTGTAGTAAAGGAAGACTGGTGTACTACCAGTGTACTACCTACTACCATTCCTCCACCTCTCATTCAATAATTAAAAAAACCAAAATATATCCTTCACTACGGACATGCTGTTTGTATGCTTATAGTACAGTCATATGAATGTTCATTTGCAACAAATATTGAGATCTGATTATGTACAGGTACCCCTGTGGGTACATGAACTAGACAGTAGTACATAATACTCTCACCTATTCTTGTTATGGAACTCATACTCTAATAGATGGTACAGGCAAGAGAGACAGATAATATAGTGCTATGCGCACCATAACAGTAAGGTAGTCAGGCTACCAAGTGCTGTGGGAGCAGTCATCCTTAACATAGAGTTTGTGCCAAGCACTGCTTAGGTTCCAGAAGAGATGATAAGTACACTAGGAGGCCTGTTTGATGAAGGAACATTTGAGTAGCATACAGAATAATGAGCAGGATGCTTATGAGCAGGACAGGGAACTGACAGGAAAGAATACAGTATCCTGAACTCAGAATGAGAGGTCAAGTACTCTTCCTAATGGCAGTGATGCATACACTAAGAGTTGAAGAATGAAGAGGAGTTAGCCAGGTAAAGAAGGCTGAGTTTGGTGGAGAAGTGCTCTAAGCAGGACAAACAGGATAAGAAAAAGCCCAGAAGAGAAGTTTGTGGCTGGAAAGATGAAGAAGTAATGTGATCACTAGCTCCCCCTTTGCCTGAAAGGTTTAACTGTGTAAGAGCTATGTGTACATGCATGCATGTGTGTGTATATGTGTGTATGTGTGTGCGTACATGCTTTTCTCTTATTAGAAGACTGATATACTAGTTCAAACATGTTTGGGCTGCTTCCTCACAGGATATGTTGAAGGAATTCCTGCCATCTGGTGGACAGAGAAGTCATATCACAATGTGTAGAAAATTGGCATTATTATAGTTTCAGGCTCACAGCATCCCAGATTATGGCATTTCCATTCAGTGGTTTAAAAGTCCTGATGTACTTTTTAAAAAAAGGAAGAAATACACAGGAATATTCTCAGGCAATGCTGTCTTTTATGAAAACATGAAGGAAAGTGAGGAGACGAGAAGGAGGAGAGAGGGAGGAAGGGAAACAATCATGTACGTACTTGTGCCAACACGGCATTTAGGAAGCATACTCTCACCTATCCTTCCAAACAGTAGGCACATAAACCCATTTTGCAGCTGAAGAAACTGAGTTCAGAGAAGAGCTAGCCTTGGCTGACTCCCTGTTGGACTGCTACCAGTCAGGGTTTATCTTTTGGTCAACAAAGGGTAAGCAGGAGGCATAAAATATTTCTCAGTTGTGACACTGATACTTTTAAACTTAAGATCCCAGGGAAAATGTTCAAGGTTCCATTTGGTACTCAAAGACATTGGAACAATCTAAGTCATATACATATCAGTTGGTCTCCAAAAGAGAGATAGCCTTAGATGTCACGTTATAATGGATGCATTTTCAGAGCTAAAAAGCAGAATGTTTTTCTAACAGTTTCATAGTACTGTACTTCTGGTTGAGAAGAAGTCTTAAAAATTCAATTTGGATGCAGAAATGTTAGAACTTGTTCTCAAAACACATCAATGAATTTTCAGAATTGAAACTCTCACAAAAAAATTCAGGATGAATAGGATCCTACATGTGTAAGGATGACTGGTATTAGCAAAGCATGATCAATGTGTATATTATGCTTTCCCATGATCCTTTATACCTCTAAGTCCTTAGAGCAATTTTTTTGATTGGTGTTATATTTGGCACACAAGTAGGAGCTAAAAACATAACTACAGGTATGAAATTTTTTGCTCACCAGCTACTTATACAAGGATGTAACGGGTTATTACAGATAAAATGTCCAAAAGCTGTTCCTTCTCTCCACTGAAGTCAACACAATGGAAATAGAGCACCAGAAAACTGGAGTGGAGAAATTAGTATGGAGATGGTTGGGATGGAGCCCCAGGGAGCTGAGAAGACTCAGGACAGATCACCAAGGGAAAACAGTATAATCCTTTAGATGTTCTAGAATTAAAGGACCTATCTGGAATTATTAATATACACTAGGATTGTTCTGGTTCACGTTCCTAGTCAACTCCAAAGTTTTGACTGAGTACTTCAGTCTCTACAATGGGGTTATGAAATGTGGGGGAATACAGAACACAATCTTCACCTTCAAGAAACTTATAATCTGTATACAGGAGATCCAGGAATGGTCATTTGGACTGATCAGGTAAGTCTTTGTAGGGGGAGAAGTGAGACTTCTTATGGCCTAATAAGAATGAACATATTTAGGATGCACACATTGGAGGGAAAGACCCTTTTGACCTACTCTGAATCTAAAGCATGGAATCAGAGACTTTCCTTTATTTCATTTATATTTTTATGGAACAAGAGGAGGGAGCAGGTCTACTGGAAAGAAATTACATAGGAGAAATGAGGTTTGGTTTGGTTTGGTCTTGCCAGTTGTCACTTCCAAATCAAATTGCACCAAACTTAAAAATATAGGCATACTTGTTAAGAGAGGTTTTGGCTTAATATTTTGCCAAGACAGCAAATTAGTTAAATGCAAGTTAAATACATTCACACAACTAATATTTATTGAGCTTGAACTCAATAAATGGTAGGCACTAGTTTAGACAAAATACATAAGAACAAGAAAGATACTTCCTCATAATATACAAAGATATGTAAGATGCTCGTATTCATTTTTCAGACATAAAAGTGATGTTTCCTTTTCTTGAGGAGTAAACATTTAATATTGCCATTACCTATGGAATTTTAAAATAAGATGAAAGAAAGGCACTCATACAGCACAAGGCATTAATCTTCCCAACCCTGGGGGAAAAGTGTATTTTAAAGAAGCTTTGGTAACATGTGCCTAAAGATTACTCATATACCTACCTACACATACAGTGTGACGGGTTTTGTTTTTAATCAGAGAATTTGGGTATAGGAAGATAATGATCAGCAACATGCCAGGAAAAAAATGCAAAAATTTCTACACAGTAAAAAGAAGCATTAAGATGAGTGTCTAGAGAAATTTGGAGGTGGATAGATTCCCCAGTCCCCAGTTCCTTTTTCTTAAAGACAGAGCTAAAATAACAATGTGAGGCTACAGAGCCATGCATCTGTTTCTGATTTATTTTCTTGGTATTGTCCTAGCTGGAGTCACTTCTAGATCACATGCTAGTCTATGGGAAAGTTACAGAAGGAATTTACACAGAGGGCAAATATATAATTAAATACACTTACAAAAACACACTATCAGTAATACAATGTAGATAGAGGACATATGCAAAACTTATGATTAGAAAGAAACCATCTGATGATTTTCATTTTCTGATTTGTGCCACTCACCCCACAATTGCTAAGTGCTCTGTTTTTACCCTTGATTGAAAGATGCCAGAAGCTCTTCCCTTGATCCATCTTCTTGGCTTCCTACTAGACAGCACTGGCATTCTCTAAATCTGCAACTAGAGACAAATCTTGAAGCTACTTCCTTCATAGGTTGTGATTAAAATTTTTAGTTCAGAATGTTCTTAAACAGTTGCTTCAGTCAGGTCTTACATGGAAACTGCTTAAAGGTTAGGACATGAAGTGTTCAATTCAATAGGATATTCTGCACGTGGGGTATGCTTGAATAGAAATCTATCCCATTTACATCTATTTTCTAATCTTTCTTTCCTTACAAAAGCTACGTATACACTCTTCAAATAATTGTTTGCTCATCCTTTTAATTCTTTTTCATCAATTGTTAATTTTCTAAAGCAATGAAAATAAAGGTGAGAGGCCAATTTTATCCTTTTAATTCATTCTCTTCTGAGAAAAGATTTAGGTCAAATTAACCTCTTACACTGCAATTCTATTCTGAACTACTCTTTAACAATTTTCTCAACCAATTTGCTATGACTTTCCTGAGATCACGCTTTTTCACTTTATATATCTAAAGCATCATTTACTAAATACTTGCGTTAGCACTTTTTGTGGTTGCTTTATTGAAAACTTTGCCTTAATTTGACATAGCATTAATTACTGTACTTCTGATTACTTATCTGGTATATAGTTAATGTCTACCTTTCAAGGAAGGCAGTTCAGACACATAATTTGACAAAATTAGGAAACAGCAACATCAGTTCTAAGAATATAGGAAAAAAGTCTGAAGAGTGAGCTGACATTACTGTCTGGAGTTAGTGTTAAAGACCACAGACAGCATGCACAAATGTAGGCGGAAACAATACATCTGCGGACACTGGCAGACAGCATTACCCGCCAGATTTGGCCAGTTTCTAAAGATAAATAACTTTTCAGTGATGTATAGGGCTGAAATTACATAGAACACAGAAATTACTAAGACCTAAGCCTACAACTTTTGTGGGTTTCAAGATTTTATGCAATCAATATTCTGACATCTGTAACACAACTGTCCCTAAAATAGTGATGCCAGAAATGAAGATACTAACATTACTTGATGACTTTTGTTCCAATTTTGAAATAAACTTGTCTAATTCCTTGAAATGACCATTCTTGAGCCACATTTTTATTTAGGTCATTAAGAACCATAATCATCCTTTTAAGGAAAAGTTTCATTAAAAATGCTAGAGAGCTGCAGCCTCTTTTGAAAACCAACACTTGTAGCTTGTTATAGTAATAGGTCTAAATGTCTAAGGCATATTTAATGAAAATACTCTTAACAATTTTATCTCAAGAGCCTGAGCAATAAGAATTTTAAAAGGCTGACAATGAAAAATAGTTGAATATTCTGGGAGTTTCCATTAAAATTGGAAATAGCACTAACTAGTTAACTTTTTAATCTTTCTCTAGAAGTGACTATTTTGCCTGAATATTTTAGGGAAGTATCTGCCATTATAAAATTATATTCCAAAGGCCTAAAAATCTCAATTACGCATCCTTGCTAGTTTTGATGAAACACTGGGAAATTTCCCCCCAAACTGTAGCAACATTCTCTAGTAGAATTACAATTCCCCAGGAACTAACTTGTAAAACAGTACTTTTAAAATACCAGCTCCATTTACCTCCCTTCTTGCATATCAACCAAGTTCCATCCTAACAGAAAGTGAACATGGACAGACTTGAATTCAAAACTTCCTGACAGAATGTCTCTCTCCATCCTTCTAGTAAAATTTTCTTCCTCCTAATTTGTTAACTTGTCAATCAAAATTTTCAGCTGAATAAAAAAACAACTTTCAGCTGAGTAAAGCTTTTTTTTTGGTTACTGAGATGATTTACTATTTCACTATTTGGGGCAAACATTCTATAAATTAAGTCAATTACCATCTCTTCTACAGCAAAATCTTCTTTCATATGTTACTTGAATACATTGTGACCAAAACATTTATATTACCTGTTATTACCAAAACAGTTAATATTAACCTATTATCACTATCTGCTGAAGAGAGCTATTCATTAATCTGAAGAAGTGGTCAAAAATTTAAAAGTTTTTCTTTTGTTACAAAGAGATGGGGGATCTCCCTGTTGCCCAAGCTGGTCCCAAACTTGTGGGCTCAAGTGATCCTCTCGCCTCAGCCTTCTGAGTAGCTGGGACTATAGGCAATGCCAACACATACTGGGGACCAAACCCAGAAACACTCATTGAGCTCCATTCCCCAGCCTTTTTAAAAAAAATTTTGAGGCAGGGTCTAAGTTGCCCAGGCTGACCTTGAACTTCTGCTCTCCCTGCCTCAGCCTCCTGAGTAGCTGGGATTATAGGTGTGCACCACTAAACTCGGCTAAACTATCATTTTTTAAATAAGTAGTCTGACAAAAATATAAAGGGATAATTTTACTAAACATACAAATTTAAGAACATTCAAGTTTTTTTTAATTACAGCATAAGACATCAGATCAATGGCAATGGCATGTACACGTGTGTGCACACACACACAATTATACTACATTTACTAAACATTAGGTAAGCACACTGACATACCAATGCTCAAAATAACAAAGTGAATGTTTGTCCCTAAATTGTTTTTATAACCTATAACTACTAAATGGGAAACTTCTCCCAGATTTACTTTCCATAAGAAGTGTGATATACTGTCACTGATTATTTTGGAATGTGGATAACATATAAACCTCTATACTAGGTCCTTTTCTACTTTGCATCCTTCATTTATGTCTTTTCAACCCACCTAAGACTCTAGTAATCATTCTTCTGAATAAGATTAACTTAGTCAAAACAGATGTTGAAATCTGGATGGCTCTAGGTAGAGAAAAATATCTCCAGTAAAATTCTCAATTCTATGTTCACTTTTCCCTTGAGCAGTTATCTAATTATACCTAAGATGCTATGGGGAAACTTAATAAAAATAGAAAAAGAAAAGCACTTTGAACTATCAATATTCACCTTAGTCCTGAAAGCTTCCCTTTATCAACCAGTGTGCATGTTATTATTTTAAATTCCCAACTGTAAACATGTTACACTTAGTAAAGCACCCAGAAATTTGTGGTACTATATCATTTCCAAGGAGAATGTGTTAGGTAGGGGCAGAGGAAGAAGAAAAACCAAAAAACCTGACAATTAATGCAAAAAAAAAAAGTTTCATGGAATATTTTAAATGAATAATGAAATACAATTTTAAGCAATATTTTGCCCCATAAAGAACATTTCCTCACTTAGTGTTTATAAAAGATACAATGTATATCTCCAGAAGATGATATTATTTCTTTACCTAAAATAATTGTTGAAAGCTCCAGCATCAGTTTGAATTTCGAAAAGGATATGTAGCTCATACGCTTAGGGCAACAGGAAACTAAGCTTTCTGACTCATTTCACCCCCATCACATCCATTAATCTTATACCTTGAACCCATGTCAGAGGGTAAAACTGTTCCCTCTTTTGTACGTGGTGAGAGGAAACTAAAGATCTGATTCTACTTTGCTGGGTTCAATTCAAAGATCATGTAGTTAGTCCAAAGAACTCTTTGAGGCATCTTAAGTAATTTTAACCTATATTTTATAATCTGCCACCCCTCAAAATACTAAAATTTTACAATAAATTATTCATCCTTCCCTGGCCTTTAAATAACTTACGGCTATTACAAAGGACTCTTTCATTCCACCTCACAATACACAGTAACTTTACATGAAGAACCATCATCATAAGCTCATATCTTTAAAAAATGGATGCAACAAGGCTTCTTCTGCTGTTATTCTTGAAGCTGGATTTAGGTCTAGAAGTTTATCAAGCAGATCATAAGCTTCATCAGGTACCTCATCCCACCCTTCTAAATTGGTGTTATCATCAAAATGACTCCCACACCCATTACTATCCCCTTTATATAATGAATCTGAGGGCTGTGCTTGAGATCTTTGTATGATGTAAGAAGCTTTATGGTCAGTCTTCTCTGAAAAAGGTGAATCATGAGAAGGACCTCCTTGGGTATCACTTGCTAATTTGAGAGTGTTAGAATCTAGACTCCTGAGTCTCTCACAGAGTTTCCTCAAGTCTTGTGCTGGGACTTCTTTGCTACATAATATTGATTTGCCTAAAAGAAAAGAAATATATTATATTATTTGAATATATCAGAAACATATTTCATGAGAATCATGCAAGTCCAGTCATATGTTTATGGAGACACAGAGTATGAGACAGACCACATACTATTTTTAAACTGTATCTGAACTACAGTTGAAGACCAAATCATAAAATAGAAGTTAATAAGCAGAAAGCAGTAACCAGGCACTCACTTGACTGTCAACTTCTTCAGCTTCATTTTATCCTTCTGTAATCTTTAACCAGCTGCAGCTACCATCCTTCACCCCATTTCCAAACCTCTGTACCTCCAACTACAATGATCTAGGACACTCTACACCCCTAGTGTGCCTAAGACTTCCACACATATCACTACTTAGGTCAAAAATCACCTCTGTAAGGTCTGACACTCAGAGAATCGATATTTCAAGCTTCTGTCATATCCTGGGAAGAGTTCTATTACTTTTGCTCTGCTATATTGCAACTGATACATGTATGTCCATCTCCTGAGACTGTGCTCTTTGAAGATAGGGAAAGTTTTATTTATCTCTGAACCCCTAAAATATACAATGCCAGGTACATATAAGATTCTCAGTTAATGTCTGTTGAACAAAAAAGCATTATTCATTTGAGCATCTCTGTTTAAATGCCACATTTTTAGAGATATAGTTCGTGACCAATCTATCCTAAATGGCTGACCCTTCTTCATTCCCTTTCTCCTTTTGTCTTTCTCAATAGCATTCAATTCTGACAGTAAATACAAGTCTCCAACTTATGAATGAGTTTCATTCCAGGAGAACTGTTTTTAAGTCGGATTCGTTTGTAAGCCAACAAAGTGAGTTTATAGAATATACCTGTGAAAGTTCACAACTTGAATATTCGTAAGTCAGGAACTTGTATTTACTTTCTTTACCTCATTAGAATTTGAGTTCTATGAAAGCAGAGACTCACAATAGTACCTAGCACACATAAAACCTTAATAAAGTTTCTTAATGAATTAAAATTCAAACTAGATCTCAGTTTTTAAAAATGTCTTTACCTCCTCATGAGCTTATTATCAGGAAGAAAAAATATACAAATACAACTAGGCAAATATGTACTATTTTTGCCTTGTATTGCTTTATTTAATAGAAATATGGCTCTAAGCAAGGAGTAGCAGAATATTTAGATTCTTTTTTTGAGTATTCAAATTATCAACATTCTAGGTAATAAAAAGTTACCTTTACATATTCTGATCTAACAACTGGACTGGTATAGTGAGGCAGGAGAAAGGGGGAACAGGGTAAAAACAAAAGAAGCAAATTACTACAGTCTAATTTGGTGGGGATACAGCATGCCAATTCTTTTTCACTTTCAAATCTATCATTCCTATTTTCTCTGGGAAAGTAAGTCTAGCCAGAGGAGAATAGTCATATAGTTTCATTCCTTAATTTATTAATTTGTTGAGAAGTCATGAAATAATTAACCATAAGTGTTACAGCATGTCTCAAGTTATATAATATGTCTACATTATCTTTACACATGACCAAAGAGGATATATTTAAATTATTTAGGGAAAAGAATTTACACAATACAATCGATCAAAGCATATTTTATTATAGACTACTACGTCAGTGTTTCTTCTTTTAGTTCATGGTTTTCTTCTGAATTTATTCAATACAATTCAATGAGCATTTAATGATCCATAATGGGGCAAGATCTAGGGGTGAGGACTGGAAAGTAGGTTACACACAGGAAAAGTAGAAGTACTCTAACTGCCGATCCCAGGCAAGTCATTTGCTTATATTTTATTATAAAGGGGAACACAGCTGTATGTGTTGAAACTTTCAGTCTTTAGTAATCTATGCAAAGCTGTAGTAGGAGCTGACTGAAATAATTACAGAAATCATACTAAAAAAACAAGACAAATGCTATACAACATGATTATTTTTAAAATATGAAAACAAAGATTATAGTGGTAGAAGCCCTAGCCTGCTATCACGGCACTTGCTCTGGAGTAATTTTGTCAGATTTTATAATTCCATTGTTGGCCTTCATTGTAACTGTTACCTCCAATGGGGAAGAGTCAAGCTCTTCAACAAAATGTTTTGGTGCTGCCTGATAAACTTTAAGTTCATAAACTTCTTTCAAAATTATTAAATAGTAGATAAAACTTTCCTCAATTAATTGAGAATAAATATGCTCAAGTTTATTACAATCAATCTAATGCCAGTTTTAAAGTAATGATCTTATTTTACATTCATGATCACTTTTCCCTTGTATGTATTATTTTGCCCTACTTTTCTCAAAATTTTCTTGTAATAGGAAGACAGAGAAAAACTGTGGATTAACTTTACTGGAGAACTATTTTTTGAAGACTCTATTATGAGACTTTTCTAACAACTATCATTAAGTTTTTCTGGTGGCATTGGTACCCAACAAAGGCACAAAATTGTTTTTATAGCAGTTCTCATGCAGGAGTAGTCTCTTCTGTCGTCAAACTAACAAGCTGGAGCCTTAAGTATCATATTTTTCTGAATCATATTTTCCAGAAATGGGTGGGGATGGGCAGACATGAGTATTTCTTGAAGTTTCTCAGATCATTCTGATGCACGCTTCTGATTAAGACTCATTGATGGGACTACCCCTGCCTCCCTGGCACTTTCCCATGGAGGCCAGCCGTGCCCCGACCATGGCACAGGGGCTATGCTTTATCTGAATCTGCACGTTATCTGAATGCAAACTGAAGAGGTGCCAGGGGGCCATAAAGGCCATGGTTATGAGCTCCAGAAGATTGAGGAGAAGCAAACAACAGAGAGAGGGCCTCTCCGAGGCTCCTCAATGAAAATTGAAGCCCACTGGGAAAGCGAAGAAAATCTCTGCAATAAAGGCACACCAGACCACCGTGGATGATAAATTGGTGGGATTAGCACCTCCCATAGGAACCAGGACTTGCTTCAGGGGAAGGGCAGCTGGAACCTGCAATAGAACCTTGCTGAGGTCAGGGACCTAAACTTGGGCCTTGCAGCCAGAAATCAGCCTGAATCTCAGTGCACTAAAGCTGGCTTGCTGACACTAATCGACTTAGATCTGCACACTGCTGCCCACACTGTCTACCACGACAGGAGAGATATACCCTAAAGGAGACCTTTTTAAAAATTTATATATATATATTTTTTTCCTTTTCTTTTCTTCTCTCTCTTCCGTCCTGTTCTGCACTTCTTTTGCTCTTTGTTCCTGTTCCTGTCTTATTTCAGATTGTTTTTCTCTCTCTTTCCTCTCTCGATTGTCATTATTTTTATAGGAAGGTGAATATAGTTTCTAGCTTCTATAGCTGTTAGTTTTGTTCTTTCATTCTATCTTTTCCTCTTCTCGTCAATAGTTTTCCAAACTATGCATGATCTTCCGGTGTCCTCTAGCCTCATTTCTAAACTTTTCCTCTTCTTCTCTCTATCCATCCCTTCCCAACTCCTTCTAAGTCCTCATCCTGAAGGGTAAATTTGCTATATTGAAGGGTTTATTTACTACAAACATACTTTGGGCTGGTCCTCAATTTTCATCTAGCTCATGCAGTTAAAGGTGACAGGTTAATAGCTACCACAAACTGTCATTTTCTAAGCTGTGTTTGATGGTATTGTTGATGCTGATTGTATCACTTGGGTGAAGGTGTCGTGATTGATCTAATCAGTTGTCCTCCCTGGTATACTGAAAACGAGACTGCCTAAGAGTCATTACAGACTCAAAACCTAAAGACCAGCTGTACCTGGAAGACACCTCTTAGAAGCAATCATTCCATAAGGGTTCAAAATACAAGCAATAAAGATACTCACAATAAGCAATATTAAAGTGTCAGCCCAGGAATTAAAGCAAAAACAGCACCAACAACAAAAATACAAACGAGAAGACACCTAAACAAGGCACAAACCCAGACTTCCAACTTGCCACAGGAAAATTCTGGGGGCAACAAAGTGGAAAAATCTGATAATCAACCACCTGAACACCCTGAACTGATAGCACGCGAAGTAACAAAACAGATGAATGAGGCACTAGAAAAATTCAAAACAAATAATTTCCCAGATAACTACAGAGATGGTGAATAGAATGAAAGACAGGATTAGAGACTCTAGAACAGAAACAGAGAAAAAAAATAGATAAGCTCAGGACCATGATGGAAACCATAAATGCCCAGCACAGGAAAGAAATGGAAACCATGAACACCCAACATAGGAAAGAAATAGAATCCATGAAACAGACTCAAACAGATATCCAGGAGATTAAAAACTCCATTGAAAGTATTCACAGCAGAATGAGCCAATGTGAAGATGAAATATCAGAGAGAGAAGACAGGATTGCAGTTAGTGACCATGAAAAGAGAGATTTCTTAAAAATAGTAAGGAACCATGAGAAATCGATCCAGCAGCTGCTGGATGATGCAAAGAAGAATAACATAAGACTGATAAGAGTCCATGAAAAAGCAGGACTAAGTACAAATGACATAAAAAACTGTTCACAGAAGTAATGGCAGAAAACTTCCCAAGCAGAGGAAAAGAATTTGACATACAGATAAATGAGGCCCACTGGCCATGATCAAAAAAAATCTACATCTAGGGGTCGGGGATTTAGCTCAGTGGTTCCGCTGCCTGCCTTGCAAGCACAAGGTCCTGAGTTTGATTCCAAAAAAA